TGTGTCTTTTGCTATGGTTTCCTCCTAGTTTTTTCCTTCTTCCTGTGTCTGTTGTTCTGGATTTCCTTTTTCCTGCATGGATCTGCTTTCTGGCAACACCAAAGCTACACCTGAGCTGGTACCATCCATGTATGATTCCTTGGTAGCAAGCAAGGTAAAGGCATTTGCTCTCCTGGATGTAATAGGCAAAAGGGTCCAGGTGTTGGCACATGAAGTCTCTCTTGCTTCAGTTCCTCTGCACCCGTTGTGTGTGGTTTTCCCAGTCTTCCTTGCTGGAATAACGCAGGTAGCTAAATAAGAGCATAGGTGGGTGGAGGCGGTTTAAGCTCCGTCATCTCTCTGCAGTGAGGAAGGACAGCCTTCTCCTCTCCCAGCTGAACGAGCAGCGGGAGCTTGAGACCTGAAGAGGCCGTAGACTGTTTGTCCTGGTGTAACTGGTTAAGGGACTGAGAGTTTCCAGGGGACTGGTGCATATGGCTGAAGTGTACTTGGGTGAAGGTATCCCCATTGTCTTCCCCTTCATCTTGCATTCCGTTCAGTTACCTTTCCTTCTCCGTACTTTGTTTACAGCTTTACGGCATTAAATGAAAGTGTGGAGAGAAAGATAAAAATGAAGAAATACTGTGGAGCTCTTAGTGTGGAGGAGATGCTGAATAAGTTTCAGAAGGAGAAGGATGCTGAGAAGAAACAAGAAGAGGAGCAAAAAATGGCGACTTGGACACCGGCAGAACCTGCAGCCCCAAGGGAGGCGGAGGTGGTGGATGACCCTTCTCTCTTGCTCTTCGGCCATGCCAGTGATAACGACCTGCTTCAGGCAGCGACGGCCATGGGCCCGTTAACTGACCTGGACCTGGAGCAGCTCCTGCGTGAATCCCCAGAAGGGAGTCCCTTTCCTGATGTGGAGGATGGGAGCGATGCTATTGGGATGGGCTTGGAGCAGGATTTGAAGCAAGTGCTATCCCTCCCTGAAGGCCTGCCAGCCCCTTTGGAGAAGCCCATCAAAGAAGTGGCTCAGGTATGGCAGGGCGTTGTAGGGCAGTGGGACTGTGTGATACCTGGAGGGGACACAGCTCTGCTGGTTTTGCGTAGCTGCACCCAGAGACAGAATGCGCTCCAGTGGGGGTGTTTTGCAGTGCCAGTGTTTCTTAGGGCCAAGTCATCTTCTTGAGTGCCCACGTGTCAGGTAGTGCCAAAGTCCTTGGCCTTGGTATCGCCTGAATGTAAGAGTCGGTATCGGACCTGTCAGGGTGGCTTCTCTGCCTCTCTTGGCAAAGTACGGACAGGATGGAAGAGGTAAATTCCAAAGTCAATTTGAGAAGAATGAAGTTAAGATGTGGACTAATGAGGCTGAAGGAGGAGTTCCACCATAATCGTTGTAATGTGCTGTGATGTTCAGGAGAGCATCTGTGAAGTGGCGTGCGGTGTTGTGTGTGTGAAATAAGTGGGTGCATCTGGAAAGCATTATGTGTTGTACAGTGTGAGAAGGCGTGAAAAGCCCTGTAGATGGGGCCTGAGGGTTTGTTAGAAGCGTTTCCCATGTCGTACGCAGGCAGATGCCTTCACTGAAGCAGGGGCGCAGTTTGGCATGTCCCTCACTGGAGCTGCATCACTGGCAATTTGGGTTCCTTAACTAATCTCAGAGTTGGGGTACTGTTTAGGGAGTGGAACCTATTCCTTTGTAGAGGGCGATCCCTCGTCTTTTCAGCAGTAGCTCGTCGTGCAGCTGCAGTGCTGTGGGACTGGCCCGTCTTCTGCAGAATGTTGTGAGGCGCTTTGGGGCGCGCTGCTCTGGAGAAGCGGGAGAGCACTGGGTGCTGGTCAGGGATCCCTCTCCTGGCACGTCAGAGACGTGCGCTTTCAGGCTCGCTGTGGGGCTTCTGTGCTGGGAGGGCCATCAGCATCAGCCTGGTGCCGAGATGTTTTGTTCCTGCTACTAGTGTTGTTTGTAATCATGGATTTTAAGTCCTAACCAGTGCTCTTAGACCTCTGCAGTGGTGTGTGTTTTGCCTTCTGGAGCACGTCAATTTATAGCACCTTTTACTTAAGCATCTCTTACTTAATAACTCCTGTTTCTAAAGATAAACTTCTTTTAAAGATAACTGTGCTCTGCTGCGAAAGTTTGTGTATACTGATGCTGAGCAGGTGGAAGAATTGGAGGAATCAAAGAAAGTATTGCCACAGCTGATAAGAAGAATGGGCTGTTCACGGATGTTTCTATTTTCTGTTGAGGCTGTTAACGGAAAACACTGAAACAGCTGTTTCTGAACTATATCTGAGTTAAAGGAGAATACTATGGAGGGTCCCACGATACTAAGTTAATCGTAACGTTCTGCGGTATAGAGTAATAGTAGACTAGCCACAGATTTTCCTGCTTAAATTTTTCCGCTTCTGTGTCTCTTGCTACTGGACTGTGTATGTTAAGAAAAGAAACCAAGGAGGAGATAT